TTACAAGATAGCCACAAACCATCATGGGGCAAACACCGTACGCTAGACTTCACGAAAAATCATTAATTTGTTTATGAAAACAGATTCACGGATTAGCTGGAAAGAAGTATGGTAGAACAAATACGACGAATTGACAGAACAGCGAAAATGCATCCAGCTAGATTAGCGCGACAAAGGTCTGGAACTTTCATTATAGAGCAAAGCTGAGCAAAGCGACGAAAGGAAAAGTTGAAAGTGAGAAACGGCACATGCCGACAAAATGTATGTAAGTAAATTAGGAAAGCACTATGCCAGTGCAGGATATCACGAACATGAACATACACCGTATAACAATATGCATAGTAAATCTAGACACAGCTACTCTAAATCACGGAATGAAACCATAAATTAGCAAGCCAGTATCACTGCACACACTACTTGGGATAAATATTCACCTGATGAAGTTTAGAATCGCTTTAAACAATAAAAACAGGTCGTTGGTGGATCTAATCTACCCTTCGCTTGGTCTGGTCCTGATGTGGCTACTGTGTCAATTGAAAGATCTAAAGCTTTAGATCGCTGAATTCCACGAGAGAGAGAGCGGTATGATGCAGCACTAACAGACATAAGACAAAGTCATGAGCAAGCTGAGACAAAAGTTGCAGACATCGTGTCAAAAACCAAAATCAAAAGTGTAACTGGTTTAATAACCGACCCTCTCAAATCCCTTATGTGCACAGTCTTCATTATCCTTAGTTAAACTACGTTTCACACGCAACCTGCTGTTAGGACGAATTTCACTCAGGCGTTGGATTAGCTCCTCTAGTCCTATCGCCGTCCCAACGCAGACAATGTGGACGAAATGAAGCGGAGATGAACTGGATTCAAAGAAATGGATAAGCGTGAGATCAGAGATGGTTTCTTCCGTTCGGAAGCTGAAATGCTCCAACTGAGTAAGTTTCCCACAACTTTCAAAAGAGCTATGGTGCTCAACATTGGGGTGGTCAATAGTCAGCGCCTTCAGGTTTGGGAGCTTTCCGATGACAGCGTCCAATTCTAAGATGTTCGGGCAATGTTCATTGTTGATGGCACTGAGATGCAAGCACTCCAGTTGTGGACAAAGTGATGCAAGTGAATCGAGGTCTGCGGCGGACTTCAACGACATACCACGTAGTGACAGCGATTGCAGCTTTGAAAGCTTTCCCAGCGTGGCCAACTCACCAAAGTTCTCAGGAAGCACAATCCAGCCACTCTGGGAGTCGGTACACGAAAGGTCACGACTTAGGCCCGGTACACCAATGGCACCACCAATAGTTAGGCTTGACAAATTGGGACAGGCAGAAACCAGCATCTGAGCACTATGCTCATTCCCATCTCTGACATATCCTGAGTCACGGCGTGCTTGTTGAGTCCGAAACCGGTAGGAGAATTGTCGCAGCGACTTGAAGCTTGCTGCCATTTTCACTAACACATCGCATGGTGCTGCTGTTTTCCAGCCAGATATGTCCAGATCCGTGAACTTGTTCTTGAGTCGAGAGAACTTCTCAATGACCTCAGCATTGTAAATATCGTATGGTGACCTCATTTTGTCTACTTTTACACAAACAATCAGCTCCGTGATCAGTGGATTGTTTTTCAGGATTTCTAGAAATTGCTCTGCTGTGAGATAGAGATCTTTCAGGACTAAGCGTTGAAGATATGGTAAACTGGTTGACATTAGTTCGCACTCTATTGAAGATTTCAATGGAAATCGTGAACGGTGTTCCGCCATCACGCCTGCGTTAGCTGGAGTTGTTCCGCACAGCGCCGTGGCGAAGGAAACAGGACGCCGGGCAACCTGCAGGCTTTTCAAATTTACCGACCTGGCTTGAAGTCGGTGCAGTATCTCGTCTAAACCAGTATCTATCCAATACCATCCGACGATTGTCAGATGGAGGGACATCTTGGCAGCTAATGCCTCCAGTGTATTCATGCCCGCCTCAGTAAAATGAGATGAGTAATCGTGAAAAAAAATTCCCTGCCTCCCGGCAACAGTGACTCGAACATCTCGTAAATTCTCAAATTCAAGTATTGCATCCAGGATTGTGAGATCGCTTCCCATGAAACACATGCTGAAGTCAAGCACCGCGAGGTTAGGCATGAATTTCAAACCTTTAACTACAGCGTTTGTTGAGATTCTTGGCCTTGATCTCATGAAGTTCCCTCCCATCAGTGCCAACTCTTTCACGTGATGTCCACATTTGCGAGCCATTTCCATGAATCTCCTGTTCATGATTCTCCCAGATCCATGGCGGAAATCGAAAGACGTTGTCTCACATATCCTACCTTTCCAGTCAGCAGCGACCCTCGCGAATTGCTGACAGACGGTTGCTAGGCGATGACTGTGATACCATCCATCCGGTAACTCCCTGAATATCAGTGCCCATACTTCATCCGGTAACTTGGGCAGCGCTGGCGAGGATACCAACAGTTGCAATCCGTCTTCTCCATTGTCGGGCTGTGGACGTTCTTCATATGGCTTTTTCCTCCTGCCTGCACAACTTCCCGAGTCTTGAGTGGTGTTCTCATGGCATTCTATTACTGCCACACTGCAAACTGTATCTCTTGCTGTGCTACTGAAAACCTCACCGCTTACTTGACTAGAAATTTCCGGCAGACTGCAAACCTCACCCGGTTCACTGCATACACTGGCCGAGACGCTGCGCCCGTTTCTTGACGAGTCCTCTCCAACGTTGTCACTGGAACCACTCGCCGACATTCTGCAAACCTAACGCCCTGCACAATCTCTGTTAACACAAGGTCCTGAAATACAAGCTACCCTTGTTCTTGTTGAGCTCCTACTTCTTGAACGCAACCGCTCTCGGGAAACCTCCCACCTAACGCCTGCCGTGTATTCTCTAGTATAAGTGAGAAATGTTCGACTGTTAGTATAATATACTGCGAGCACGAACACGTCGAACCAGCTACAACCAGCTGGTTGTGCATGCAGACCTTCATGCCATCATGGACGATTTTCCGGTGACATGGCCATGGGTGGCCGATAAAATCACCTACTGAGTCTGCGCTAGTGGCAATACAACAGTGGCGCGGGAAGATGTTCTGGTTTGTAGAGAGGCTAACAATTATCCAACAGAGACCGCACACACTGCAGTGATCAGCAGAATAGTCGGCGTGGGTAGTTGCCATGGTTACATCATCCCACAGTCATGCACAGGTCACTAAGGACTGGTGTCTAGTACGTGATCATTGAGTGATGACGTAGGCACGGCTGCATGCCCTCCTACATCCTACGCGGGGTCGAGAGCCTGACGAGAGGTTTCTGTTCATTAGGGACCTTTAGCACCACGTCGTTTACGACGTAAGCCTGACGTAGGGCCTTGTCCGGGTTCGGGGTCACGTCGCGACGTAGGATGTACGTTCATCAGGCAACGTTTTCGACGTAGAAAAGGCCTTTTGTACGTTGTGACGGGACGTAGGAATTTGCCTTTGCACTTGCACCAAGAGGTCAAGAGTTCAAAAAACACATCGATGTTTTGATGTTGTAGTTTTTGTTATTCAACCGACGAGGTACTAGGTACGATCGATCGAGAGGCGCAATTTTATTCTTTGCTATCTTTGTTTTGTGTTTCGGTATGGCTGCCGAGGACACGCTGACTAAGGCTGTGTGCCAGAAATTTCGTTTTGGAGCCAAGGAGGACAGTCATCAATTTGTTGAAAGAAGTAATGGCAGCGTCGAGCGAAAAGCCCTTCTCTCGTGGCTCGCGGGCCTGGAACACTGTACTCCTGAATTTGGCAACTATATACCACGCCAAATGGAAGCCGGTAACCATCCGTACACTTCGAGATAGAACTCATTTGCTGGTGACTCGGACTAATTTGCGAAGTACAGTACAATCATGTAGTTTACTAAAAAAACAGTCTTTTCATCCACATTTCCCGCGAGGAACTTTGAAATCACGCGCGCCATTCTGCTCGAGCTCTGTTCCTGTGGCAACGACGTCGATCCATAATCACATCTCGCTAAAGGCTAGCCAAGTATGCAAAACACGTATCGCGCACCCCCATCGACGTAATCAAGTACATCAAAAGGCCTACGTTGTAAACGTGGTGCTAAAGGTCCGCTACTTTACCACTTGGCCAAGTAAATACGCGTTTTCAAGAAGCTGTGACGTCAGACTTCGTGAACTGGGTACCCACTTGCTTGGTGTGACAAGGATGCGGCTTATGGGGTTATACTCAGTTAAGGCGGCAGACTACCCAAAAATTCGCTGAAAAATCGAATTTGTAAATTCATATTGAGTGCTACGTCAGTTAAAAGAGCATGAATAGCTGCAAATTCTCTGAAAATTGTGTCCCTATCTGACCAGCCGTTCAAGAGTTATGGCCGAAAATGTGCCCTTGCAAGGAAAGATTTTTTTGTTGCATGCTGTCATTTGTTGGCAGCACTGTATTTGAATGTGAGCAGACCGTGCGCAACTTGTCGTATTATGGAAACACGCGAAAGTGTGCAGAATTTTGCCCCAAGTCCAAAAAAGTCCAAAAAATCACGTTAAAAAACCACGTATTGGGCTGCACGGCGGCGGGCGAAGCCCGCCGCCGTGCAGCAGGACTTTTGCCAGCACCCTCGTGACGTTGCAGATATGTGGCTTGATTATTGTAGTTGACGTTGATTTAGTGACTTTGGCAAGTTTGAGTCGTGTCAAGAAGTCAGGTAGGATTCAGTACTAGGCAGTAGTGAAACGTGAGTGGCAGTCTTTGCCGGTTTCTGAGGGCATCCTGGATTTGGTGTGCAGCGCTGTGGAAATGGCTTGCTGTGGAGGTCCCAGCACTGGATGTTGTATCAAAGGTACGACCTCGTAGCACACCCTAAACCTAAAAAATTCAAAAATTGACTTGGGTCTGTGGGAGTCCGCGAGAGAACGCCCACTCGTTCCGTTGTGACAGATTCCAGGGCTGTTATGAACCCTCTAAGATTCTCTAAATTGTCAGGATCGTACGACCACACGGCACGAGGACAACTGTTTTCCTTTACACAGTATATTTCACTTCATCTGATAATTAACAATGAACACTAATAACACCAGCTATTTATAGCATGCAGAAACAGCGTACATGCAAAACATAAGCATATAAAACTGGACATAACAGCGTATACAGCAAAACGCACACAACGCATATAGCGTATGCCATGCAGCAACATCAGCGGTACGGCGGAGTCGAAATACAACATTTCAACGAATACAATGCCATAAACGCGAAGGCCTTTCCCAATTGAGAACTGGTGGTTTACAACATTCTCCCCACCAAAGGGCTTCTCACCGCCGTACAACAATGCACACAAGTCAAAAACGATCCGGGGCTCTGACTACGCGCCCAGAACGCGTCATCTCCTGCTGCCGTGGTGGTGGTAACGGTGCTGGCGGTTCATACGCTGGCTGCTGAGGGACGATAGCAGGTTGAGCGGTATCGGCAAGCCCAGGAGCCACGTCCTGTGACGATACTTCTAATGGCACTAACCTTTGGATCGGCCTCAACAGGGTACTGGTACTCAACTTAACCTTGGCAACACGACGCTTGCCATCTCGACCAGGGAATAACTCGATGATCCGTCCCAAACGCCAGAACTGTTTGCGCTTGGTATCATCGAGAACAAAGACAACATCACCCACAGCTAAAGGGCGCGACATGGTCTGTTGGTGCTTGTTCAGCTGACTTAGGTACTCCACCTCCCAACGATTCTTGACATGCTTCATTGTCTGACTGAGGTAACGCAATCTCGCTGACATATGCGTAGCGTCCGGGGTACCTGCTGGCTTCGCTGACGACATCCAAATGTTACCCATCATCATTGCAGGGGTTACTGGTGGCTCATCCAGGCTATCAGACACATAAGTTAACGGACGACTATTCACCACTGCTTCAACCTCATACAAGATGGTCTCAAGCTCCTGTTGTTGTTGTTGTTGTTGTTGTTTGGCTTTATTTAAAGTGGAGTTCCAAAACAGGCCTAAACCTAATGACAATGGTCCCACTGATAATAAGAGAAAAGAAAATATAATAATAAGCGGACAAACAGAACCAAGAAGAAGATACAGCTGTAGTTAGATAACTAATATGAGCACGGCAGCAGGGGAAAAAAAGTCACAAGCACGGCAACCGGGAAGAAAGGAGTGAGTGAGTGAGAGAGAGAGAGAGAGAGAGAGAGAGAGAGAGAGAGAGAGAGAGAGAGAGAGAGAGAGAGAGAGAGAGAGAGAGAGAGAGAGAGAGAGAGAGAGAGAGAGAGAGAGAGGTAGTGAAGCAGATGAGTTCACCACTGCTTCAACCTCATACAAGATGGTCTCAAGCTCCTGAACCTTCAGAAACGCTGTTCCCATTACCTTTTTCAAGGCACTCTTCACTGTACCAACCATTCGCTCATAGAAGCCTCCATGCCATGGTGCAGCTGGAGGATTGAACATCCATGGCACACTCAGTTTGTCAGATGCCGCCTTGAACGTTGTAGCGTTGTCAGACCTGATCCGAGACGGCAAACTACGTCTCGCGACAAACTTCCGAAATGCCATCAAGAATGACTCGGTACTTAAACTATCGACCACCTCCAAGTGAACTGCTCTGGTGGTAGCACACACAAACAATGCTATCCATGTAGTGTTATCTTGTATGTGTGTGTGTACCCATTGTGCATGCTTGTTTCTCTTATTTGTACTCTTCTCTTTATAGATGTCTCATGCACCGTAGTGTACCCTCTAGTACTCTACTAGATCCAGATATGGAGTACCCGCGGCTGTCTTGCTGTATGATGTGTCTTTCACGACTATTTGTGTTCTTGCACTGAAAATGAAAAGGTTGCTCGTCAGGAGCAGTCACTGTCTCGAGTGTTGGTCAAGCTGCACCCTCTGTCGTTTCCTCCGCGGCTGGGCTATCCCTCCCCACGGTATCATCTCTGGGTCCCGTGGCACCCCAGGTTCCGTCGATGATCCACCTTACCCAGGTAGCTCCTCCAGCCCCATTCGACTTCAAGTCCGCTGATGTGTGGGAGAAGTGGAGCAAGCGATTTACGAGATACAGGCTCGCCTCGGGTCTTCATATGCAGGCACAGTCCGTGCAAGTAAACTCTTTGTTATATTCGATGGGCGACGAGGCTGACGACCTCCTACTGAGTTTCCATTTATCAGACCAGGATGCGGACAACTACGACATCGTATTCCAGAAATTTGCAGACCATTATGGCAGGAAACGCAATCTGGTGTACGAGCGTGCGAAATTCCACCAGAGGTCCCAACAGCCCGGAGAGTCGATTGATGGCTACATAACTGATTTGTTTCGTTTGGCAGAACGTTGCAGCTTCAAGCAGCTCCACGACGAGATGATCCGTGATCGCCTTGTTGCAGGAGTTGCAGACACTGCCCTGTCCCAGAACATGCAACTGGACCCATCTCTTACACTGGACAAAGCTCTGGCACAAGCTCGCCAGAAAGAGACTGTACGAACACAACAGTCCACTGTCCGTCATGGTTCGTCAGCTGGTGCAACTCTTCACCAAGTCCACGCTTTCGAACAGCAGCATCACTCTGCATGTGAGTCGTGTACCTGTGCACTGGAGCTGAATGCACTTAGCATGCGACCACAATCTCACCAAGGTGTGAAACATCCGGCCCAGTACAACCACGATTCAACTGGTCATGCTTCACAGCCCCGCAGTACACACAGTTACAGTGGTCATCCTCGCTCAAGTCAGTCTGCACCCAGGCACAGCTCTGGCGTTGATCAATCCAGTACCTGTCACTGGTGTGGTAAGGAACGCCATGCACGCACTCAATGCCCAGCTCTTCAGGCCAAGTGTTCATTTTGCGGCAAGATTGGACACTTTGCTGTTGTTTGTATGCAGAAGCACACTAGTAGCTCTCAGTCTGCCTCCAACACCAGTCACATGCATAGTCTGCAGTCCTCTGCTGCTAGCTCTGGTCCATTACAGTCTGCTGACCAGTGGCACTATCCTCCAGCCTACCTAGGTGCATTGTCCGCTGATACTGGGTGGTCTATGCCCATGCTGCTGCAGTCAGTGCCAGTTACAATGAAGGTCGACACTGGTGCAGACGTAACTGCCATCCCAGCCAGCTTATATGACGACATATCTGCTCACCATCAGCTCAGCCTCCAGGAATCCGACCGTACGCTGAAAGGTCCAGACAACGCAACTCTAGCTGTTTCAGGCCGCGTCACACTCAGTATCTGCCGTTCTGCATTTTCCGACTTTGCAGTAGACACAACAGTGTACGTGGTACCGCACCTGAAAACACCTCTGCTCGGCCGGCCAGCAATCGAAGCCCTACATATCTTCAGTCCGCCAGCAGATTTGCTCAGCGCAACTACCGGTACGTCTGAGCAGTCCTCCGTCAAATCGCAGTACCCTGAGCTCTTTGCGGGAGTTGGTTCGTTTGGCAGCGAGCACACGATTCGGCTGGTCGATAATGCACAGCCTTACTCTCTGCCTACACCACGCCGTATCTCTCTACCGATGGAAGCCAAAGTTATCGAAGAACTGCAGGCCCTCGAACAGAGTGGTGTCATTCGCAAGGTAACTGAGCCAACCGATTGGTGTGCCGGTATGGTAGTGGTTCCTAAACCCAACGGTAACGTGCGCATCTGTGGCGACTTTACCCGACTCAACCAGGCTATCCGACGGGAACGTCACATCATGCCAACAACCGATCACCTGCTTGCTCGCCTCGGCACAGCCAAGGTCTTCTCGAAGCTGGACGCGAACAAGGGCTTTCACCAGATCCCCTTGTCGCTGGAATCTCAACTGCTAACAACATTCATTACGCCCATCGGTCGTTTCTGCTTTCGACGACTCCCGTTTGGCATCTCCTCTGCACCTGAGTACTTCCAGAAGCAGATGTCTGACCTGCTGAGCGACCTGCCAGGCACAATCTGCATGATTGACGACGTTCTAACCTTCGGTGACGACGAACACGAGGAGGAGAAGAATCTGCATGCAGTCCTGCAGCGTCTCTCATCAGCCGGAATCACACTCAACCCAGACAAGTGTGCTTTCCACCAACGTTCAGTCAAGTTCCTGGGGCACATCCTCGACGACAACGGCATCCACCCTGATCCCCAGAAAGTGCGCGGCGTTCAGGAGCTGAAACCCTGCACGGATGTCCCAGCAGTACGTCGTTTCCTTGGCATGGCGAATCAGCTGGGAAAGTTTGTACCTGATCTGGCAACGATGTCCCAGCCACTGCGTGCTCTCCTGGTCAAAGGCCAGGAATGGTCCTGGACCGAGGAGCACCAAGCAGCATTCGACGCGATCAAGTCAGCCCTCAGTTCGCATCCAGTACTGGCGATGTACTCGACTACCCTGGATACGATCATATCTGCAGACGCCTCATCATTCGGCCTGGGAGCAGTCCTCCTCCAGGTGCAGTCTGACGGCTCCATTCGTCCAGTTGCATATCAGTCCCGTTCTCTGACACCAGCTGAGACCCGCTATTCTCAAATCGAGAAAGAGGCTCTTGCTTCTACCTGGGCATGCGATCGTTTCGAACATTTCGTACTTGGCAAGCCGTTTACGATCCAGACCGACCACAAGCCGCTCATCCCGCTTCTAGGCAGCCGTGCTCTAGACGACCTACCGCCTAGAATTGTCCGTTTCCGTCTGAGGCTCCTTCGTTTCAATTTCCGCATTGTTCACGTGCCAGGCAAGGATCTCGCCATTGCTGACGCTCTCTCCAGAGCACCTGTTTCATCAGAACAAGCCGACAGCCAAGATGTTGATCTCCTCGCAGCTGAGACAGCAGCGCTCGTCGACTACGCCGTTGATTGTCTGCCTGCAACAACTAAACGCCTCGATGACATCGCCGAGTGGCAAGAGTCTGATCAAGTGTGTGAGTCGCTTGCTCGCTACTGCGCTGACGGCTGGCCACACTCATCCGACGCTCCTTCTGATGTTCGACCATACGTAGAACACCGGGCACACATCACACTTACCGATGACGGTCTGCTGCTCTACAACGACAGGTTGATCATTCCCGCATCTCATCGCGACGACATTCTGTCACGGCTCCACACTGGACACCAGGGCATAGCCAAGTGTCGCCGTCTTGCCCGCAACTCTGTCTGGTGGCCCTCCATCAATTCGGATACTCAGCTGTATGTTGCAAATTGCTCGACGTGCGCCCGCATGCACACTCAACCAGCTGAACCGCTCATCCCAACAACACTCCCTGATCTACCATGGCAACGTCTAGCTGCTGACCTGTTCCACTTTGGTTCGCGTGACTTTCTCCTACTGGTAGACTACTACTCTCGCTACATCGAAGTCGTCCAGCTGACGTCAACATCATCCAAGGCTGTAATTACGCACCTGCAAAGTATCTTTGCCCGTCACGGTATTCCCGAGACATTGATGTCGGACAACGGTCCACAGTTTGCGTCTGAGGAGTTCCGTCGATTTGCCGAGGAGTTCTCATTCCAGCACGTAACCAGTTCTCCGCTATATCCGCAGGCTAATGGTCTCGCCGAAAGATCCGTTAAAACCGTCAAGCATCTATTCACTGCCTCTCCAGATTGGTACAGTGCGTTGCTCACGTATCGCAATACTCCTCTGGAATCCGGTTACAGTCCTGCACAGCTCCTAATGGGTAGACAACTCCGTTCACGTGTCCCCGTGTCCAGCTCGCAACTGCAACCTCAGATGATTTCGACATCTGCCTTTGCCGCCGCCGATGCAGCTCTCAAGGCCCGGCAAACCAGCAACTACAACGATCGGCACCGTACTCGTTCTCTACCGCCTCTACAAGCTGAGCAACCAGTCTATCTCACGGATCGCCATGAGACTGGTACAGTACTCCGTCAACCCGCCATTCGCTCATATGTTGTGTCTACACCCTCGGGTGAATATCGTCGCAACCGTCGACACATTGTTGCTTTGCCGTCCGCACCTCCGGTTGCGCAGGTTCCGAAAGCAGCTTCAGCACCAGATACAACACCACCGCGTCCACCACAACCTACGACAACAAGTACCACATCGTCTACAACCTCTTCTACACACTCAGCCGTTCCTACATCCAGTACAACATCAGCAGGCACAACCATTACTCGTAGTGGTCGTACAGTGATGCCTCCTGATCGTTATGGTTTCTCTGACTGAACTCTTGCTCTGATCTACCACTGAACTCGCATCACCATTACCTCTTTCATCTCTTGCTCTGTTGCTCTACTCTTCTCTACGCTTTTCTCATGCGTATGTGTGTATGTGCGTGTTCTTCTTCTTTTGCGGAAGGGAGGGATAGGATTATACATAAATGTTTTGCATTATTTGGTCTTCTCGTCTTGTCTTTCTCTTTCCAACTTTCACTGCTATGCTCTTTCTCCTTTTTGAAGAAGGGGAGATGTAGTGTTATCTTGTATGTGTGTGTGTACCCATTGTGCATGCTTGTTTCTCTTATTTGTACTCTTCTCTTTATAGATGTCTCATGCACCGTAGTGTACCCTCTAGTA